TATAAGTTGGGGAAGTGTGTTGGATTTGCACAATAAAAAACTTCATGGCGATATTTTATGAAAATAATTCATAATGAAAGAGAAGTTATCTAACTGAACTAGTGCTTTGAAAGTGAAATGTTTGATATCGAAAAAATATAAATATATATTTTTTCAATAACAATGACTCCATGCACAATCACGATTTTCTATGGGTTTTCATGTTTATTCACAACTAAATTTGTATGGTAAATGAAATCATTATTATATACCGAGCAATTTGAATGTCGATGAAAACGATAATGAACTTCGGGCTGGTAGGCCATGGTCAAATTGAAACTGAAGTAACAAACGTTTCGTCTGCTACTGCGGCAGATATCAGAGAAATGTACGTTGATTGCGAGAACGAAGCTCTTATCTGGGAGTCTCAGCGACAAAACACTGAGACTGAACTCAGATTATTTCTAAGATTCATTTTTGAAAAAAACCTTATCAATCACAAAATTGAAGAAGTTGATATAGGAAAATGTCTTAAGAGATTTATCACCAACAACTAGAAACAAAAATACCTCCGATGTTGATTGCTTCAGTGAAAACAGTGTCACATACTTTCTTGGGTCAAGGTTAAAATAATATTTCGCCTTGATCATATCGACACAATATTGTTGTGAATCAATCAAGACTGGGTACAGGCGAAATCAATGAGTTATTTCCTATGAATGAAATGAATGTCATGTGCTTCCTTTGAGCCCTTTTCGAACGAAGGAAATTCATCATAATACACAAGAATTTTCAATTGAGATGCGAGACATAAAAAACGTGAATATTGTAGAGGTGTGGCTAGTTATTCTCTGAGAGTATTCAATTTTGTGGGTCACATAATTTTCGTGATTAGGAAGGTTGTAAATTACTGTTGATTCACCTGCGAGTGGATAGGCCCACTATGTCAGGTAGAGAGTAGATTCGATAATGAATTATATTATTCAAAATGGATAAATGTATCTTCATTTTTGGGGTACATGAAATAGTAGCAATAGAAGTGTAGTGAGAATTTCTCTATATAAATCTTTTGGTGATAAACTGACAATGAATGTTTTTTATCCTTGAACCTGATATTTGAAAAGTAACGCTTCAGCTCTCTAAAGTTGATGGAACTTTACAATTCAAAAGGATGTCTCACAAAACATGAAACAGGAAACTCTGGCGTAGAATAAATCCAAAACAAGCACTTTGTCCACCCTCGTCCAAGTGATTAGAGAAAGTGCTTGTTTTGGATAATAGAATGGTAATGAATGAAAATGAACATATCATTTCTGTATCCAATGATAAATCAGAGAGTGGAGTTCTTAATATTTTTTGTTTATCGAAATGACTGAAGATTATATTACCATGATTGTGTGCAGTATCAAATGATGAGAACAAAAATATTCATCTAATATACATTAATCAATAGTAGGAATCTCTGGCTGAGATAGAAGTGTCCGTAAAAAATAATAATATGAACAAGCATTTGTTGGTACCAGCACTTTCCATCCACTGCATCAGCAACTCAAAATCACTTTTGAAAACTGTCTTCACATGAGGTAATAAATATGAAAGACTTTTCATTGATCTTCTTGAAACTATATGTATGAATTCAGAATATCCTAAACAAATGTTTCCATTCCCAAATGTTTTGTTGGAAATGTTGAACTATAAGAAACCTGAAACTTTTCAGAAATGTTCTTCATAGCATCCACAATAGAAGTTCTCATAGACAGGAAATTAACAATTTTGAATGAGCTTGAGATGGAAAATTGTATAAGAATTTGATTTCACGATTTTATGAGTAACATCATGAGTTTGTTTTCAGATCGTATGATCGGGAATTCGTTATATGATATGACTCCATAAAAAAATCAGTTTGGCTGGAGTATACAGCGTCTGGAAAATCTCTTTCTCCGTTAATATTAACAGAAAAACCTGAAAATCACTATCTGTGTTTTAAGAATGATGTAACATCTAAGTTTGGAAAAATGGAACTTGATTGAACCCAACATCTTCATTTTAATGTTTTTTGGTTCTATAATTAAAAAATTGAAGGAATATATCAACTTTAATATTTTGAATATATTTTCTCTATTATTCAGTATATACTATGAATTTTCAACAAAGGTAAATATGTAAATTCACCAATATGCTGATATGATGATATTGAAAATATCAATCGCATTAATAATAATAATGATGTCGTGTAAAGGAAAGCCTACGTACCTAAATGTAGTTATTCATGTATATGCAGGATCGAAAAGTAATATCCTCATATTTGCAAGCAAGTACTATTTGGTTTTCAGCAAGTTATTTGAAAAATGTTCATGCGATTTGGTTTCATCGTAAAAATTGAGTCGTTCTCAGATTACTATAAATCCAACCTGTGTTCATATAGTTTCTATATTCTATGTTACACGTGTATATGTTTCTACACTTTAATGCTTTATGAGACTTGTGATAATGTGCATTTGACTTTTCGTTTTTATGTTTATTACTGTATAATATTCGCATGATCTTTATTTTGTAGATATTCTTGATGAAGGAAATAAATATATTTCCGAAAGCTTGAATAACAAAAAATAGTGTTTACATATTTGTACTTTTCAATTAGGTATTCAACGAAATGAATATGAGTACAATCAACTCTCAACCAAGTTAATTATAAAATCATTGGAAGATACGAGAATTACTGTGAACATGAGTTTCCTTTTCAAATCAATGGATAGTGAGATAAACTGTCGAGAACTACTTCAACTAATAACTTTTCATATCGAACAAAAAGATACGAGAAATCCTGACATTTTTCAGGTGAATTTTTTCCATGCCAATTATGCTTTGAACAGTCACTTCAGGTCTTCTTACCATTTTCTTTGTAGGTAACTACCAGATTTTTAACATCTTTTTTCTTGTAAGTACCAAAATTTTCATCTTCTAGAAATGTAGTCACTAGACATAAGGATTTATTAATATTTTGTATTTCACATTCGCTGAATTTTTTATAAAATTGTAAATTGTAATGTAGACATCAGACATGAGCAATCAAAAATAATTTGTACTTCTTCATACTTTGTCAAATATTATTTTGTAAATTGGCTTTGCCCTTGAATAAATAAGTAAATTAATGAATGAATAAAAAATTTTCTCCTCATCATTAGTGTATAAATATGTATATTTGAATCGCGTGAACTGATCGCTATTACATTACAACACAACTGTGCCAAAACATGTTAAAAATTCGAAAGCACAAAGAAGAATTCAACAGGGTTATACAAGATAACTAGATAACTCTATTGAAAACAGTTTTGCAACACCAAAACAAAATTACGGTCTCTCGACGCGCTTTTCGCTAACCAAGTTAACGTCCTTAGGAGGTCATTATGATCTCCTGATATCTCCGGTCATAATGATCTCCAGAGAACGCTAACCTCTTTAGCGAGATGGGCATCGAGAGACCCCCAAAAACTTTCTTCCCTAAAAAATTAGCCACCCCTAAAAATATACATCTTTTAAATCAAAAACCGGATATGGAGAGTGTTTCATGAGTTCTGAATTATTCAATTCTTTGAGAGATTGTCTACATTGGATGAAAATAACAAATCATTTTAAATAATATATAAAAATTTGAAAGTAAAAGATAAAAATATACTGTACCATGAAGATTCACAGTGCCTAACTTTTTGTCCAGTAGATGTAACTACATGAAAGAAAGAAATTGAATAACTTTTATGTTGATGTTTTTAGCCTACTTAGTGGAAATTTATTTTCAAATTACACCCAGCGGGCGGCAAGTCATTGGTACTAGTAACAAATGCTGATTTTGAATTCGTATTTAGGTAATTAGTGCAGCGAATCAAAAATCTCTCATAAAGGTGGAAAACACTTTCTCTGTAAAAAACTTATTATTATATGCCTGTTATCCGAGTAAATCTCATATTTGTGACAGTATCATAGAAAAGTTCACATGATATTATATCACAGTGGTTGATTTGAAATATTTACATATACCTTATTTAATAGGATTTTCAAAAAAATTCAGATACGACTATTTAAAAATTATTCAGCAATATGCAAGGTACTAAAAGATCAGACATGAACCTTTAACATAGAATGAAACTAACAAAAAAACTGTTTCCAAACTCATCTCGACGCAGATTGTCAGATCCAATGTCATGCTGGATATGAAATACTGATTCGAAACGTATATGCTATTATTCACTATATATTTCCGTAAGGAATATTTGATATTTATAACGTCAAATACATTCGGGTTCAGTTACAAAATATTCGTGTATGGTAGATTTTGAATTTCATTGAATTTTATTATTCAGGTTATTGACGCAATTATGTCGTTTATGAATCTTTCCAATTGAGATCATATCAATATAATACCTATCATACGTATTCTGATCAAAATTATCATTCGAAAGTGCCGCACATTTATTGAAATATATCAACGTTAATCTCTTGAATATATTTTTTCAATTTTTCAGAATATTCATGAATTTCACGAAAAGATGTGAAGTGTTCCTAACTAATGACGAACAAAAGTTACCAAAAATGTGATGGAATTATTCCCAATAAAGTTTGTTACATAAAAATATTCTGCTTTCAGTTTTCAAATCAATTGGTCTGATTTGTATGTATTTCACAATTTCTGTTTCAATTTATCAGGACAAATCAATTAAATGAATGAGTTATCAATCGTAATCGATATCTTATAATTCATCAGCAATAAGGAGAACTCATAAGTTTTTGATGGATATACAATGATCTTAGTTTCATTTGATATACTATCACTGAAGGGGCGAAATAATTTTTTTTTTCGAGTTATGGTGTCTAAGAAAACACTGAGGTTGAAAATGGTAATAATTGAATAAAATATGATACTTAAAAGAAAATCCACATTAACACTGATTGATACAAATAACTGTATTCGTTTCAATAAATTAGTGAAAATAGTTAAAGAAGTAACAAGTCAGTGTGGACATAGTAAAATTATATTCTATTATATCTTCACTATTCGATGCTGCATGTTTCAAAAAAATAATCGCTGCGGTTCGCCAACTTGGGATATTAATCATTCGATTGTTATTCAAACGATACCAATTATACATTACGACATTCTATCGTCGACGTATGAGATATGTAACGAATGTACAAACCAGATCACTTGCAATTTCTAGTAACATTCACGTTAAACAAACCAAAGCGACCCGCGTTTCATTTTCATACACTTTTTTCATTGACTAAATCAGATTCACTGTCTACAAAATAATTTCACAAAGAAGAAATCTTCGAACAGGTGAGAATCGAGAATTCAACACATGATATCAACCCAATGAGGATTCAAGATAACTTTTGTAGGTCATCTTCAGCCAATCAAGAGAGTAGGGTAGAGCTCGAACAAGAGTTCTTAGCGGGTCAACAAAGTAAAAGAAAGGTCAACATGATAAGGTATAAAACAAGAAACAAAGATTGAAAAGATCATCAGTTACTTTTCGGCTGTCGGCAAAGCAGGTGTATGGACTAGTGACAATGATTTCGAGAAAAACTGTGTTAGTGTTGGTTCTTGTGGCATGTGCTGTAGCACAGGACAGTTTAGAAAATACCGGTGTACGAGTGGCACTCAAAATATATGATGATTGTTCGAAAGCCGACGGTTTCAGCCCTTGTCTCAAGAAAAAAGCTATAACGTTTCTCGATAGGCTAGGAAGAATGGATAAGTTTTCTCTTGCCGAAGGAGTTATAGTTACTAAAGTTGCCGATGCACCTAAGGAAGGACCTGTAGTCACAGAAGAACAATTGGAAAAAACTCTACCCCGATCAGGTGATGCCAAGGATGAGATCCTCACCAACATGTTGATGGAAAAAATCAGCAACTTCATTGGATCCAGAACTATTCAGGTATCCCTTCCCAAAATCTCTGGGCGTGAACTGGCCGAAGATTTAGGAATCGAAGAAGGTAATTTTATGATTCAATTTAAGTACATAATTCCATGAATGTCACATACTCCTATTTTTCATTTCTAATATCATTTTTTATTTTCAGGTCGTAAAAAGGAAGGCGGTGGTTTGGGAGGAGGCGGTGGAGGAAAAATGAAAATAGGAGGCATGATGGGTGGCATGATGATGGGAATTGTAGCTAAAATGGTGGCGATGATTCCCTTAGCTATTGGTGGGCTGTTTCTTCTCGCAGGAAAAGCCTTGATTACGGCAAAAATCGCTCTTCTCTTATCCGGAATTATTGCAATCAAAAAACTCTTCGCATCTAAACAAGGTGGAGGAGGCGGTGGACACAGCAGCGGCGGCTGGCAATCCGGAGGTAGCATAGGTGGTGGATACGGAGGCGGTGGACATGGTGGTGGCTGGCAATCCGGCGGCGGTGGATGGGACAAAAGGTCTCTGGAAGAAGCCCAGAATCTGGCATACAATGCTCACAGTCCAAAGTAGATACTCTGTTTTGGATTCATTAGCTAGCCAATATTTTGTACAAATATTCTTTGACCAATTTTCTGGTCATATTTATGTTTGATTTTCTTTTAATGACTTCGACATTCGACAGTATTTCTAGACATGGTAGCTTCAGTTTTCTAATTATTTATTTTCAGTATTTATATTATTTATATATGTGACGTTGACGACATGACGAGACTTTAACTTTTTTACCAGACAGTATTTTCTTCTTCTCCAATAAAATGTTTACATATATATGTGTTTGATTATATTCAATAGAAATTTCACACCCAGCCCCAATATTGAAGGTTGGTTTGATTCATTTCGAAAGAAAGTCGGGAAAATTGAAATGAAACTATGGAGGTCAATCCAAAACATACATAAAATAGTTTTCAGTTATATCTGAACAAATATAGCTTGCTTTCTCGACATGAGTTTTGATGTCAGCAAATATAAATTAGTTGTTGCTCACTAACTGAAAAAATATTTCATTGACTGAACGAAAACATTCTATTGGGTTTGCAATGCTTTCTTGAGACAGCACAGGTGGGGTGAGTACAGTTAAACATTATATTATACAAAACAACCGAAAAAACCAAAATTGATCTTTAATGAACAAAGGGGGGTTTCTTGATTCATATTTAAAAATAAACGTATTCACAGATATGGTCATCGCCATATAGAGAAATTGGTACGAAAGTAAGTAACTTCTTCCGAAGGAATTCAGACTTTTTTATTGACGATTTTATTGAGTATATCCACTTTCCACAATCTGACAAAATTTATAATGGAAAAGTTCATACAGGTGTATAGTTTGAAATGCCCCCTGCCCTTTCTCCATTATGATTGTCTTTCCAGATTATGTAAGGTGATAATGCCCAAAAAGATCCATTAAAATGTTAAATGTATTTCAACAGTGAAAAATGATTTATTATTTTGTAAACTGGATTTTTCAGGTTTGAGTCACAAAATCAAACACTTCATTTTGATACAGGCATTCAGAATTAAGTATCAAAAATAATCTGTTTATTGAAATATCAAACGATTAAACGCGAATTCATTTATATGAAATCAAAATGTAAATCAAAATTTTTAATCTCGATTTTCATTAAGTACCAATCTTCCATCTTTCTTCACCTTCGAAGTTACAATTTGAATTTCATGATTTTGAATGGCACCTTTGATAATAAGTATCATTTGAGTGCAACGATATTTTTTTTGTAAAGGTGGGAATAATGATTATTAAACAATTCTATAAATCTCTTCGAAATAAGTAGGACGGGATATTCAGTTAGGATCAAACTTTCAGTTTCGAGAAAGTTCATTCATCAACTACCTAGAGGTGAAAGTGAATTGATATGGCCAAACAGAACAGGAGATGGAAATAAGGGTCATGAAATGAAATCTAAAGAGAGAGAAATGAAAAAATCAATGTCAATAGTGTTACATTTGAATTAGTGTGGGTTTTTGAAGTTTTCTTTCGAGTGAGATGTTAAATGCAAGGATACCCAATTCTGAGTTTATAAATTTCAATATAATATAATGATAAAGTATTGCAAGAAACAAAAATCAATTTCCTTTCATTTTAGTGTTTATTAATATACCAGCAATTCCTATCGCCAATTCTGAATATCAATCTGGATGTCAAACACTTTTCCGTATTTTTTCTTTAATACACTATAGTTCACAATTCACAATAGATTTGCCTTATGATTCTGGAAAACAGATGTACTCTTATTATTTTGCAATAATTCAATAACAAAGTTTATTTTATTTCATCCAACTAATTGAACAAAACAGTGGTGTCGAAAATATACTTATAGTCTCCTTTATTGGGTGTATACAGGGGTGCGCAAAAGTCCGGAATAAAATTAGTATTTTTTTAACCAGTATTTTTTGAAAAAAACGCTGAAACACATCAGTTGATGTCACGTTGTACGCATTTTTTGGCAATAAAATGATTTTTTTTTCAACCCCTTAGCTGCAACCCTCCCAAACTTTTTGTTTATGCAAACCTATGTCGTGTATGGGCTCATTGAAAAGCTCGTGAAAAATGAATTCTGACCAAACCCTTATTTTTTTTTTGTGGTTACAAAGAAATGAGAAAAATCTCTTTTGAAAAGTTACAAATACCTAACTTAGTGCTATTTACTGGTGAATTAACGTAACAAATGCTGAAATTGGCCTCCACCACTACTTGGCAGGCTCCTAGGCGATGGTAAAACTCGTCTACGGAATTCCGAATGGCCTCAGCCGGTATGTTATGTGATTTCACTCTAATTCTGCTTTTTAGATCTTCAATATTAGCCGGCTTATTTTGATAAACCTTGTCTTTCATATATACCCAATAGAAATAATCAAATGGCGTTAAGTCTGGGGATCTTGGCGGCCATTAAATTGTACCACGTCGTCCAATCCAGCGTCCTGCAAATATGTCATCGAGTAGCGTGCAGCTGTAAGGTTTCCCTCAAAAAAGTATGGCCCCAATATTCTGTTGTTGATGATGCCTGCCCATACATTTACATTCTGAAGACGCTGCGTACGAGCTTCGCATATCCAGTGTGGGTTTTCCCGACTCCAGAATCGATAGTTGTGCCTGTTAACTACTCCATGTAAATAAAAAGTAGCTTCGTCCGAAAAGAGTATGTTGAGTGGAAACCCATTATTCTCGTCACATCGCCTCATTATTTCCTCACAAAATTGCAAACGCCTGTCATAGTCATCTTCCAAGAGCTCTTGGACAAGACATACCTTATATGGGTGGTATTTTTTTGTTTCAAAAACCTCCCAATCGTACGTTTAGACGCAGGATCGTTTTGGGCTAATGAAATCGTTGACAAATGTGGATCTTCCTGCAGAGATACGGCAATGTCCAATTTTTGATCTTCGTCCAAAACATGTGGCCGGCCACTTCTAGGCAAGTCCTTCACTGTACCATGTTCTTCAAATTTGTGTAAGATCTTACTCACAGTAGCCTGGGAAATGTGATTTTCCGGATATTTTGCATTAAATAAAGTACACACATCACTTTGACTCCGCATTCTATCCCCACATCCCAACAATATCAAGGCTTCGATACGCTGCCTCTCTAACAATACCATTTTTGTTAAGCAAATTAAAAAAGAACACTTTGAAGGTACCCAATTAATAAACTAAACATACATATTTCGATTCCACCCAGAAATGCCACAATTTATAAAACTGAGTCAAGACAATAGTTCTTATCAGGGCATATTTCTCTTTTTGAGGTACACTGGTCAACAATTGCTTGGGATGGAACTAATTTTATGTGTAAGTTTTTGGTGAAAAAATAAAATCCACAAAATATTGATGCTACATTACGTTATCAGTTTTACTTGATTTGAATTTAGAGTGTGAGCAGTTGTTGATGAATTGCCATTAATGGAGCCCAGAAAAATATATTTTCAACAAGATGGGGCTTCGCCTCACCATACTGCAATTGTCACCAATTTTTTGGCTGCAAATTTTGATAATTAAATGGATTGCAAACAAAGGCCCAATCGTTAGCCGGCCAGGTCACCAGAGCTAACGCCTATGGACTTTCATCTCTGGAGGAGGCTGAAAGATCTTATATTTGAATTGCCGACCCATTCTAGATGCCAATTGAGAGCGGCAGTGATGCAAAGTTTTGCTCCTACCACTCCTATTGAACTAATCAATTCGGCAAAAACGTTCATCAAAGGTGTCGCCTGTATATAAAAGAAGCTGGTATACATTTCGAATATCTTATCTGAAGAAATATATTTCATTGTTTTTCCTTTATCATCATTATTGTGGAAGTTTCATTTATCAATAGTGAATATAGTATAAATCGTTATCAGTTTAATTGAAACTATTCATTTTAATTACCGCTCAACATTTAATAGCTACTACTGAACAATTTCGTTCTGTTTTATCGCCGCGTCGCGTCGTCCAAAGTCTACTTAATCAGAGTGTGCGTTTCAAAGTCTACATGAAAAAACCTAAAAGCTCTGTGTTTCAAAGATGACTCTAGCAAAATATCAAGTGTGCTACATTTTGAGCTCTATCGAAACTTGCAAGGATATACAGATTGTCTGATTGGACAAAAATAGTTTTCCATCAATAACTATTGATATCTCATGTGAAAAATATTAGTTTTTCACACACCTGAAAAATTGCTTTGAAAATGTTTTCATTGAAACAAAAACTTTCGATAGGAAAAAAGTTACAGCAACTTTTTGAAAAACATGCTGCAACTCAGAAACGATGATGATAATGATAATAATAATAATACAATGATAATAAAATTCAACAATAAAAGTGAATTGAGTATGAAAGTATAGGTGAAGTTGCGCGCCCACAAAAATATTAATAAATTTTTTTCGTTGAGTTTTTTTGGGCGCCCACAAAAATATTAATCGATTTTTTTTTCTTCGATTTTTTTATAAATCTCTTTCGATGTTCACACATATAAGCAGTATATTTAAGGCAGTTCAAGTCAAATGTACTTTGAAGTTTTCTGTGTCTATGTGTTGTTAGGGTCCAATTTGTATCAAACTTGTTTTCTGAATTTCTCTTTGAAAAGCTTCGAGAATCAATTCGGGGGGCTGGTTAAACATCCATACATTCAACTTCTTTTTAAATAAGAAACGGCTATAAAGTGTTTTCATTTCATTTGGGATTTTTCTGTGAATTATCGGGTATAGATAAGAGAGAACTCTTTGGGTTTTTATAGTTCCAACTTTTGGTATTCTAGTTGTTTGGTTTTTCAGTCGAGTATTGTATGGACGGTCTATTTGGGGGGCAGTTCATACTTGTGTTGGTGATGGTAAGATGTAAGAATAAAGAAGTACATGTGATGGATTTTGAATAGCTTAGATTGTTGGAAGAGTTCATCTGACGAAAATCTGTAGCTTCAATCATACATTATCTTTATCAGCCATTTTTGTGTCACCTCTAGGTTTTTAATATAATTAGTAGTTATCCCACTCCAAACAAGTATGCCATAGTTTATATGTGTTTGGGCTAGACTTGCATTTTGTTATCAATGATCTCAATTTTATTGTTACGATATGCGGTTTCCACCATTGAGTTTGTCATAAAATTTGATCCTCAGACACAGCCATCAATTTTCATCCATCCAGTTTGAAAACAGGAGTTCCCTTTGAAAGTACGCACTCTGTACAATGAGAACGAACCATTTTTTTCAAATTTTCAATGATATGGTTTCTGTTCAGCATCAAATTTGAAGTGATGGAATTTTCAACACTTCAAACAATATGTTCATTGATTTCATCAAATTTTATCACAGTCAGCATTTTTTCAACTCATAAATGATGTATAAATTATACTTGTGGAATAATAAATGAAGTATGGCAACATATTACTTGAAATAATGAGACATTACTCTTGTAAATTTCTGAACAAAAAAATATATGCTATAAAGTTGACATATATTTTGATGATTGAAGTATGGCAACATATTACTTGAAATAATGAGACATTACTTTTGTAAATTTCTGAACAAAAAAATATATGCTATAAAGTTGACATATATTTTGATGATGAAATAAATATATCATCAATTGGTGTGGTTTGAATCAAAGAAATTTTTTTTTCTTTTTTGTCCCACCTTCGAGTTCATTCCGTTTGCACGGAGTAGATCCTGTTTGCTATGAAACAATTCTTGTGTGACACTGGGTGTCACACTAGTGAAATTTTCAGCCTTGTCACATCCACACAGACATTGCTTTCATATCACATGTATATAGATGGTGATGAAGTAGGTTCTTCAATGAGATATTTTTGATGTTATCAAATTTTAGTGCTCTAAATTATGAAATTGCTCAAATAATTGTCCGACTACTTTTCAGATTGAAAGAAACACATGTAGTTACAAAGTTTGACTCTGGATTATACAGTGAAAAATGTATAAGTAATGGCAATTTTTAATATTATGAGTTCTGATGGATTTCAATAAAAAACCTATCAATATACCTATTAATATACCAATATACTTTTCTATATTTCCATAATTTTCCTCTATAATTCCTGTTTTAAATTTTATAAGGGAGTGTATTTGGGCTAGAGAAAGTGAATTTCCGCTCATTATACCATGTCTAGTTTAGAATTTCACTAGTTTGGACTTCCATTGTCTACTATATAAAATGATTTGAAATCCCTGAAACAAGTTAGGGATTTCAAATCATTTTATATAGTAGACAATGGAAGTCCGAACTAGTGAAATTCATCACGAAACATTGTCAATCACCTTCAAACAAATGTCTAGTTTAGTTTCGTTCACCTCAATTGGGAAGGAGGAATAATGTCACACATACTCGATTTGCAAAATTCAATATGGTGCATTATCTTGTTAAAACTTGAATTTTACCGAAATCTTTGAAAAAACTGCGTTACTGAAATATTCGAGAAAAATTTTCGTTGAAAAATGGAAAATTGATATGATCACCTGATAGTATCACCAGAGCAGCTGTTTCAGCAGAAAATCTATTCTAATTAGTTGATATTTTTTATTTTCTGTTTCAAACACATCACAGCTTGTTTCATGTATATAAAATTATTGTTTACCTAGTTTTGTTCTACGGGTTTTCTATTGAATTGAACAAGTAGTAAAAGCTAATTTTGATTAGCTATAAGCTATGTTGGAACCATTATAGGTTCTGGAGTAGATGGAACGTGTTATTTCGTATATGCCCTGTATCTTCTTAGGTGTACCTCCTCAGGTGTTTGTGGAAAACTGAAAATTTCAGAACAAATCAAATCATTCTCAAGACGTTTCAGATCAAATTCTATGTAAAATTTCTCTTTACCAGACGCATTATCAACCATTACATAAAAAACCTGTCAGTTATATTCTATCCCCCAGTTTAAGTACACAAATTCACTAATACTCAGGTGAACTATACCGAAACACGTTAAATTCTCCAAAACGACCAACTCCATTTTCGTTGGAAATATTATCACTCAGACCAAAATGGATAAAGAAATTCTATCCGAGGAAGAACAGGAAGATTCCGCCTCTTCTTCAAGAACAAAACTATTGAACACCATTATCTTTCAAGTGGAAAGATGATCTTTCGACTGTAAAAGGTAGGTAGTAATTAATACCACTTCAGTACTCAACACTACATACTACCTATTTAGGCAAAATGGCATTATTCGACTCGCTGGAATCCAAACCAAAAACTAGAAACCCCACAACCCACCACATCTCATGAAAACGACCAAAGTACTTATCAACAATTCCATCATTCCCACTAAAAAGAAGAAATCTCTCATTCCAAAAAAAATTCTTGTATATATTGTTTCCAAAAAAAAAAACAAATCAAATATCCAACTTCGTCCAATCATCAGTGCCTTGACGCCCTTGTAAAAAACTTTGCAAAACTCTCCAACTACATGTACATGCCAAAACAATTCTCATCAGATATACTAAATTCCAATCAATTGACGTCTGTGAAAATTGATTTTAAGAAATATAGGCGCGACATCTTCGCGTAGAAAGTTCAACTGATCGTGGTATAAACGCGTGTCTACTGTATTATAGTAGTTTTTCCCTCAAACACAAGATGTCTCGTTATGATTGTTCATTTATTTTATTGCACTAAGAAAATAATTATTATTCATGAACATAAACAACAACATATCCATTCGTCTCTTCTGAAACTTTAAGGTGGGTATTTTGTTAGGAATTTACTTGAATTCCATTCAATACTTGTTACAGTCAACTTACATATTCCAAGCGGCCCACTCATTATAATTCTTCATTTTCTAGGAATTTTTTGGCTTATACTCATTCAGTTTATGTTTATGTCTTTTTAATATGATCACAAACAAATGAACACGGAAGCTCGAAATGTGTAAAGATGAATGCATAAGTCTGGTGATACTAACCCTTTCAGACCCGGCGTCCAATATAATGGACATACATTTCATTATTTATAATACGGACAGACAATAATTCATTTAATTGTCTGAAGGCTCGACTACGCCACTGTATCCTTTATTAGTCTAAATCAAGCACGCAGCACCATCTATGAATGTTTTTGTGAAATATATGATGATTATAATACGACAGTTATCATGGCGGGAACATTACGCTCCACCAAAGGTAAGTAAAATTCGATTTTTTGGCGCTTTTTTAAATTTTTTCACTTAAAAACGTTCCATAGAGATAGATGAATATGTATAAAATAGGTTTTGATGATTTCCGAGTGTTCAGCTATAGAATAGACATTATTAGAGCTTTATACGTGTTATTGTCCATTAGAATGGACATCTGGTCTAAAGTACAATATTTTTTCAGCTTTCTTTGACCCTGAAAATCCAAAGGATGCGGATATATTATTATCACTTTTGGATGATGACGATCTGGAAAAGGAATATGAGAAGGTTTTGAGCTCTTTAGGTCAGTTTTCCGACACCGAAGCTGACAGTGACCAGGAAATTGAAACAACGTTCAATGACATACCAGCTATTTCAAGGGTGGTAGGAAGCGATATTGAGCTTATACCCGAGACAATTGCGTTACCAGAAAGAGAACAGAACGAGAGCAGCAAAGTAATGAAAGATACCAAGAAATTGGATATAAACTGGAAGAAAGGATCTTTTCTAAAGTACAAATTTATAACAGGAAACATAGGAACAGAAAATAATGACAATTCTGAAAACAATTTGGTAAAATATCCAATTGAATATTTTTTTCGATATTTACCCGATAGTATATTTTCAAAAATTTCCGAAATGACGAACATCTACGCCCTCCAACAAGGTAAACACTTCAAACCAGGCGATACTGAAGAAATAAAAAGTCTTTTTGGCCTACACATTATGATGTCTTGTCTGAGATACCCAAGGGTACGCATGTACTGGGATAAAACGCTGCGACAGAGTTTTTATTATGACACCATGAGCAGAGACCGTTTTTTCCAACTGCGTACTAACCTACATGTTGTCAATAATTTAGAAAGACCAGCTAGGAACGACGATAGAATGTTCAAAGTAAGACCTTTATTTGATAGCATTAGAAAAAGATGTCTTGAGCTGGAATTGGAAAAAAAATATGTGTGTTGATGAGCAAATGGTGGCATTTACTGGAAAACTCTCTATTATACAATACGTAAAAGGTAAACCTTGCCCGTGGGGTATGAAAATATTTGTATTGTGTGGTAGTAGTGGTCTTGCTTATGACTTTGTTATCTATCAGGGATCTACAACCGAACTTGACAAACCAATGTTGGGAAAGTTTGGTCTAGGAGCTACAATTGTTCTAAAACTATCTGATCGTATTCAAGCGGGAAGTTTTTTATATTTTGATAATTACTTTACCAGTTACAATTTGCTGGAAAGTCTACGTCAGAAACATATACATGCGGTCGGAACTGTGAGAGTCAATCGTTTCAGTAAACCACCACTAAGCCAAGATAATATTTTTACAAAAAAATACAGAGGATACAGTGAAGAGGTCGTAAGTGAAGATGGCATAGTTTTATGTGAATGGCTGGATAATAGGTCTGTGGTCATGGGATCTAATTTTGTAGGCAAGGGAGATGAAGATAAGGTAAAACGTTGGGATAAAGCGGGATAGACTTATGTAGAAATACAGCGTCCAGAGGTAGTCAAGCTCTATAATAGTTGCATGGGCGGATAAATTGGATCAGATGGTTAGTCATTATCGAAATTTTATGAAGTCTAGAAAATTGACGCATGATATTTCATGCAGTAGATTTAGTTTGCACTAACAGCTGGTTAGAGTATAAAAAAGACGCTCAAGCTATGGGTGTAGCTAAAAATGAAATAATGGATTCCTTACACTTCAAAATGCGGATAGCAGAGTGTTTGATGAGGCAAAATCGTCCTGTAAATCTGAAAAGAAAAGTTGGACGATCTTCTTCCAGTCCACCAGTTTCCCCTGTCCTACCCAAAAGGGCAAATACTGAAGTGAGACCCCTACGTGAAATTCAGATAGACCACAAGGATCATATGCCAGAAATGGACCAAAATAAAGAAGCAAATGTAAAATTCATCTCTGTTTTGTCAAAGATAGAAATTGTTTCAGAAATAATCACCAATAAACTATTCAATCCAATGATATATCCGTATTTAGTATTGGGTCTACATGTCCATTATATTGGACATGGTTTTTTTTCTTGAAAAAATTTAAACAAAAATGAAAAAATTGAATAAACACCCTTATGGATCATTGTTCTGTTGGAACTCAAACCAAAATTCGGGTCTGAAAGGGCTGATGGTATATTTTATGCACACAAATATGAGAGCGGTTCCTGTATGATAGTGACAATTTAGGTTGGGCCCAAATTATTCATATCATAAATATGCTATTCTCCTAATGAAAGAGTAACACATAAAAAGTGTTTTTCGGAATATATCGAGATGTCCTTCGAATTGTGTTCCATTTTCATCCCTCTGAAAGTATCTGAAAAATAAAGACAAGACTCCAACCTTTCTTTCGAAGATCCAGACTATCAATGACGCTTGTGATGTTTAGGTTTAGTGTTTCCTAGTACTGTTATGTCCGGTTTGCAATGTTTACTTCCATCTAAAACAGTACTGACAGGTTTGTGCACGTAATACTAATTTCATTTTCAATTTCTACTCGAATACTCAGGTTGATTCTCATTTCATTCAAAATGTCCGAGATATATTTCATTCATAATGTGAGTACCTTTCCAGTTGCCTAAATTATAATCTCCCTTTTGTTATGAATGTGGTTGAGAAATATTTGTCAGAAAAATTCAATGCCTTCCAGCTTCAATAATTCTATCAACGATATAACTGTAAGAATACAAGATGTGATAAACACGCAGTTACTTCTTGTACTGGTCGGTTAGTGACAGATCACTCGTTCCACAAGAGAAACTTCCAAGTACATGCATTTTTCTTATCATCTCTAGTTAATTCAACATAAGAATAGGTCAACGGAAACCATCAACTGATTGCAATTCACAGTGGGTGGAAAGCCAAGTGCATTTTGTTTCAAAATGCATTTCAGAACACATGCTTTGATTTTGGTGAACATTCTTTTAGTAATTTTTAGTGCAAATGGATTTAATGAGGAAAAATTCAAAACAGAGTTTGGAAACACTTCCTCTGTATATGTCACAAATAATGAAGGTAAGTGGAATTGCAGTATTTCAAATCATTAATAGTGGTCCGATGTTTTTTGACAAAATCCTACCACACCATTGTATTCAGTAGTTTCGAAAAGATGCATGTCAAAATAAACTCGAAACGCTATCGTCATTGAAAAGTTATATATTTAGTAAATTTATGGTACCCCACGTCTAAGATGCGGTTTTATTCGATCTTGGGTTACTTTGAAATTGAGTATAGACGAAGTAACTTCATTATAGTTTTTATATCGAGCTTTTCCATAGCAAACTATTTCATCATTTCATGATACTGAAAAGTAGCCAACTCAGGACACTCGCATAAGATATGCCTGACTGTTTCATCTTCCTGTTCAAATATCCTGCATAAAGGTGTGTCCATTAGCCCTATATTATGTAGGTGTTTCCATAGCTGACAGTGGCCAGTCAGAAATCCTACTGTAAGGCGTAGATTTTTCCTGGTCATCGCCAGATTTTTCATCGGTGCCAGCTTCCCAGGGTCGCCAATTGTAATCCTGGCAAGATTGCATCCTCTGATTCCATTCCATCTCTTTAGGGATTGAGCATGGGTGTAACATTTGGCTAGTTCCGCAATTGTCGAATTCATCAGGCCGTAGGTGCCACTAGGTCCTAAAATTCTACGTCCAGCCGCTTCCTTGGCTAAAGAGTCGGCAATGCGATTACCTTTACTCCTGTCGTGCCCTTCAACCCACCTCAGGATAATGTTATCATCTACCAAGGTTTTGGCTAAATCTTGGTGGCACTCTAGTACTAGCCCTTTCAAACCTACGTTTTATGAGAGAAAAAATTCAAATTACCTTTGATGCACCCACAAACTCCAAAATTATACTCACTCATAAAACAGAGTACAGACTTATCCGGTTAGACTAGTGGTTTTCTTTGTCACTGCACCATTGGTGAAATTATCAAAAAGACTAATCAATATCATCATAAACCAATCAAAATCTCGAGTATTTGGTGAATTAATTATTGGATTTATCGACTTTTGCACGACACTCAAACTTTAGCTGTGTTTGCTCAAAATTCCCCCTTCCCAAACTCTAATAACTCATGATAATAATAGAAATAGTAACAGCACATATATCTTGAATATATTTTTTTTGTTAAAAATACATTGAAAAAACTTAATATGGACCGGTTTCGGTTTCTTCTTCAAGGCGATCATAAGTTTTTTGATTTTCATTTCTCTGTTTATCGTCAACAACAGGTCCACGTAATGACATCTTATACCATATAATTTCTGGTGGAACCGAATTGTTTCTTCGGTGTTTTCATGACACTTTTGTTTTGGAATGCCAGTGTGTAAACAGATTTCATGTGAAGCGAGATCTTTGTCATTAGCTTTGTTGTTTAGCAGCTTATTGCTGCTACACAAGAGGTGATAATGCAATAAAACACAACAATAACGATTTATCGGGTAAGGTTCAAAATATAGATTTGTCGTTTATGCACGAAACGGAAAACGATTTCGTATGGGTTACATCCGCTTTTGTGAAGAATTTACTTTAAGTACGTTAATCACTGCGAAAAAGCTACTGTGTTAGCGAAACATGCCGTGATAGTTTCCAAAATGGAGTGTGTGGAGATCAAATCGAAAGGTGTAGTTTACGAATTTACAAGTTTTGCAGTGAAAGACCAAGGACGAGTCGCGAAGCTTGGCCTTTTGGTTTTCTATTTGACCACCTTTTGGTGACTCGTTTGAAAATAACTTCAACTTTTCTGACTAATCCCCAGTCTGAACAAGCAATCAGTTATGAAAAAAATCAAGTGGGTACCTACTCAAGAAAAATGAGCTTGTATTGATTTTGGTAAAGTTTTCATGTGTTAGCATGTTACACCATCCGTATGCAAAATTTGTGGCTCAATCGTTGATTTTGTGTGTTTTCTTTGGTAGAAGTGAACTTAACCAGTTTTCTTCACCATGCTGAGTAATACATTATTTTTACAGATATTTATGAAGAGGCAAGAATAAAGCATAAAGATGACTACACTCTATCAATTCTCATGGGAGCTCTCATGGTGAAGTCCATCATCTTTCCCCTGGCAGTCAAGGCTATGGCAGTTATGTCCAGTGTTGCAGTACTTTTGAGTACCATGAGTCTCATAGTTTCTTCGATAGTGGGATATACCAAATTGGCGTGGAGCAGCACACATCCAATTCTGAAAGTGTTTCATGTAGATAATGTGGCTTGGGCCAAAAATGATAGGCCAATAAAATTTGATGAAGTTTATGAAAACAATCCAGATTTCATCGATTACTCAGGAGGAGGTATTCCCCAACCGGAGCATCATATCCATTATTACCAAAAGTGAATTCATCAGGAAAATAATGATTTTGTATCGTGGCATAACATAAAACATTAACACAACTGTTATCACAAAATTCACGTTAGGTCAGATATTCTCCATAATGGAGTCAAATCATCTATCTCCTTTTCTTTCAGAGTACATAATTCGTTGTACCAGAATACATTCGAAATTTCTTCCCAAACTTTTGCTGAAACTGGTGTATTTTTGTTGTTTGAGTTGGTTCAGGTGTACCGTCTGTGACGTCTCCTGAAATTTCAGTTCCATGTGTCATTATAATACTTTTGATATGACAAGTGACAGTGACAGGCCCTCTTAGCGCCCATTAAAATAGTTGGTGCTGATTAAATACATCGACTATTATCCATGTAACACAACATAACGTCTTTGTTGAAATTCAACCTTTTCTACATGTTGTTTTGTCAACATGAATGATCAAAAATTATAATTTACTCTCCAAATTGTGGATAATGATCCCCTTTCGTAGAACTGATAATTCCTTGATCATTGATTCAGGAAGATTTATCAATTTCTATTCTTTTCATAAAAAAACAATGACAATGAATTAAAAATTCTGTTGGAAAAAAGAAGATAGAAAAAATCTCAGAATTCATGAAAATTCTCATCCAAAAAAACTTCTTAATAATATAATTCTCAATCCTAGCCAATTCTGATATCATTAGGAGAAATTTATTTAATTTTTTCATTAATCGATACCATCATATTATTATTCATATTATTCATGGATAAAAAAACTGACTTAAATAATCTCAGTCAAATTTATACTTATTTAAATTAGAAAATTATAGTCGAAGAAGAAATAGTAATGCTGATTCATCCAATATGTAACTCACTGATGCAAAACAAATTATTATTTTTATTATCAACAAATAACTGTCATTAATTGATTCGTCTCAAAATTAACTTTTAAATTATTTTTTGTTCAATTTGCTGCTAATTTTTTGTATTAATCTCATGTTGAGTAAGTTATATCTGTAACGTTTCATACACATATTTTTACAATTATCATTTCGGTTGTGCTGAAGAGAGAAATAAACATTTCCGACAGCTTGACAAACTAGCAAAGAGTTTTCATCCTTGACCTTGACTGCAACCTCAAGATATCATCTAATCAATTCAT